AAGGGAACAACACTGACGTGTTCATCTTGAGCTACGTTTCTGATAATCTGCATCAAAATAAGGCCTAAAATAATCTGTGCCCACTGGACATGTGCCATGAAGTCAGACATTTTACATTTTGGCACACTGCATATTCTCTATTTTGCATTTTACAAAAATAATCCACCGCCTTGCACTCGTCTTCAGTTTGTTTTAGTATTTCTGTGAATAACTGTTGAGCCAATAACGTTCTACATTCAGTAGCTATATAGTCGCTGCTGCAACGAAGGCGCTTCCTGCAACAGATCAATAAAACATATTATATGTAACCTGAGCATCTCCTAGAGGCTAAACATAAGAGCCTGAATGTCACATTTACCTGAAATCAGGTGATTTTATCTACATAGCCTGGTTTCTATGAGGCCAGTAGTTTCATACATGTTCCTGTGATTTAATTCACTTAAACAGGATTTTAAACGTTAAACGTTTCCTGTAACAGACCTCAACGTTCAACAAACCAAAACAGGAAACACATAAATACATATAATTACAAATGCAGAAAAATATGGTGTTTTGGGATTTTGGTTCCAATTTGACAAAACGTTGAAGACGTTTTCGTTAAACTGGTTTGTCTCCTCTGTTTGGTTCGTTTTACTGTCTCAGCTTTAACACTCCTGTGAGTCTGAGCTGGTTCTCACGACTTTAACATCTAAATAAGATCTTTATTATTTCTAATTCTACACATCTCTTTCTAAACTTTCATTTCCTCCACGCGAGACTATTTGAGGCGAGACAAACAGACAAACCTCCTATCCAGGAATATTTGGCTGCAGCTCCACAGAAACACAAATGAGCGTCAGCGTCTGATCTGTTTACCTCCTGCAGAGGCTCTAAGATCCTGGAAACTGGGTCAAATCCTCCCTCTGCGTTTCCTCCATGTGCTCACAGTCTGAGACCTTCATCATCATCATCCTCCTCCTCACAGCTCCACAGCGTTTCACTACAAACATCCACGTTCATGTTCTACACACGATTTCCATCGTGTGTCAGAAAACACGCTGCTCACAGAGAAAACCACAACAGGAAGCTAAAAGTGAAGCAGCTCCATGAAACCAGCCGTCTGAAGTGAGAAAGCTGCACAAACACACTGTTCACAAAGGCTAATGCTAGCAGGATGAAGCTAACACAACAACTGTCATCTTGTTTGGTCCAACGCAGCAGCTAACGTTATCCACTTAGGCTAGGCAACGAGCAAATACTGTCAGGTTTAGGCTAACATAGCTGCTAACCTAAGTGTAGTCTAATGTAGCAGCTAATGTTACCTGTATAAGCTGATGTAGCTGCTAAACTTAGGTGTTCAGTGTAACGTAGCAGCTAATATAACTTAACACAGAAGTTAGTACTTATTTAGCCTGACTTAGCTGCTAGATTTACACTAACACAGCTGCAATATTTTGATGTTTAGCGTAACATAGCAGCTAATATGACTAGTTTGGGCTGACATAGCTTCTAAATTTACATGTTTAGACTGATATATGTAGCTGCTATGTTTATGTGTCAATCCAACGTTAACGTTAGTCAGCTAACGTGACTTGTTTAGGCTCATGTAATGGCCAATGTTGTCATGTTTAGGCTAACGTAGCTTCTAACTTCACACGTTTAGTAACATAGCTGCCAAATTTACATGTTAAGTCCAACATAGATGCTAAATT